AGGACCAGGCTTGACACTTCAAACAAAGGACCCTTGCTACACTCTGACACAACTGTTGGGTTACTTTTATTCACAGTAATCTTCACGAAGGCAATTACCTGTCCCAGCTGTAAAAATATTTATAAGGTTTATGCCACAAGACTCCAACAAAGCCCATGTGCCACTGGGCTGCTGAGGCCCCTGTGTCTGAGGCCAGTGCTCTGCTGTCACAGGTAGTCAACCTATGCCTTTTTTTTTTTTTTTTTCATTATGCTTTCAGACTCTACTTTAGCAGCAATTTAGGTTTTCTTCTCTCCCTATGTGTTCTAGCAGAAGGCTCTGTCCGGACCCTCATGTCTCTAGGACTAAGAATCCATTTCTGGTTTCTGACCTGAGATGACTCATGGACAGTTTACACCTACTTCATAATTTTGCTGATGGTCTTTACCGGACTCCTCATCTGTGCCCCACTCTATGTATAAATGACAGCCACAACCTCTCTTAGCTTCTTTTCTTGCTGGAAACCAAGCTAGGACCTCATGGTCTCCTGTCACATACCAGGGATTCCCATTCCTCTGATCAGCCTGGTAGCTGTTTTCCGAACCTCTTCAGTTTGAACACAACTTACTTCAACAGGAGTGATCAGAGCTGTCTGTGGTAGTCCAGGTGGGCTCTGGGTTTTGGGCAAGGGCACTGGGTGTCTCTATCACTTCTGGAAATATCATGCCTGAAGCCTTTCATGCCTGCATTGAACATTTTAAAGAACCACAACATCAAGTGGGCTCTCAGTCATCTTGTGAGCAATTAACATGCTATTTTCTGTCCTTTCCAAACCATGGGGCCTCAGAAGACAAACTAATAATAAGGGCTTCTGCTAAAAGTACAGGAATTAATACTGTGTACACTTAAATTAGCATTACTCCAGCTCTAAAGAGAATTTGGTTTCTTGTCTATACTTCTTTCTCTTGACTGACAGCTCCTCATTTTGAGAATATTTTATTAGTACTCAAGCCTTTTCTGTGCCAAGATCTTTAATGAAAATATTACACAGTTGACAAAGAAGGTCTTAGAAGCAAACACTTTTAGAAACACATTACAAGCCTTACTTCCCATTTCAACACAATCCACTATCATCTGTTGTTTTTCCAGATTATCCATTATAAGGCAAGATACCAGGTACACAGAAATGAGAAATGATAAGACCTCTCATGTTTCTGTGAAATAGAAATATTATCAAATATGAGTTACCTAGTACAATCTGCTCTTGGTGAGCTATTTAATTCCATGGTACTAATGATTCTGTTCTGCAAAGCCCTTTTGAGTCTGCCATTCTTATGCCATCAGATGAATGGCAATGGTTCAGATCATTCTCTTTGTCTTCATTTAAATAGAAGTGTTATATTTGCTGTCTTTCATGTCACGGTTACTCTCAGGTTTTTCTCAGAATAGTTGTATTAAAACTGCATGTTGATAGACAGTAAGTTCGTGCACCAGGTCTTTCAGAGTCTGTGTTTGCAACCTCATCTCATGACACCCTGACTTTTACAGCCACTTCAGATGGAAGTGCTTCCACTTCAGATTTTCAGATTATTGTCTCCATCTTGGTCTCACCCTTTTTACAGTCCAAGTCATTATGCTGCAGAGGGATGGTGGCCAGAAAAAGCCACTTATATTTTAATTTATTTATGCATAATATGAGTGGCATATGGAAGGTTGCTCCTGCTAGCCTCTCCTTGTATGCGCTGTGGAGCAATCACAGGGCAAACAAATTGGTTGTAACATGGCTGTGTAGGCTAGTTAAGCCATGACCTTGGTTTCTGACATGTCCACCATGACTATCCACTAATTTTAAACGTCAGACAGCAGGGAGTGAAACAAATGCATGCATCCCTTCACAGGAAGTTGTTATTCGTTTATGGTGCTTATGTAAAGTAACAATAGAGAAAAGACCAGTAACTATAACATGGACTTTCTGGTCCTTGTATTCTCACATTCCAAGAGGAACTTGCAGAACATGCAGAAAAGCAAACGAAACAAGTTCTTTCAGGATGGGAAAAAAAAGAAATGCCCATTAATTTCTGAACAATTTAGCCAGAATGAGTTTAATTGTTGGATGCTCTTTGACTGCAGAGAATTGATAGGTCTCACAGCTGGTTATTCAGACTAACTTGAACAGAAGTGAACAGTGACCTGCACAACCTATAATGTACTTTGCATTCCCTACTATACCCTTTAGGGCACATAGTACTCCACTACACCTCACTAGACACCCTGAAGTAACCTAGCATTTTTAATCATGCAACCAGCCTGGGGAGGAGAGCTGCCTGCTACCAAATCTCTTCCTCAACCACATGGCCTTTTAAAAATGAATGCTCTCAATTTCCCTAATCATTATGTTCATGGATGATCATTTTGTCTCCTTTCAATGCGAGGATATTGCCAACCCTTTTCATCATGGCTGAGGTCTCTTGGGACAATCTCCTCCAGCCAATGATCCTTTTCAACCTGCCTGCTCCTTCTATCAATGATAAGATCAAAGCTATCCACTTGAAAGAAAATCTTTAGGATTTAATTGATGTTTCCCTTTTCCTCATATGACAATGTTCTGGCAAAAGTTAAAACTAAAACTCATGTGCACTCACTCACATAGACATTCAGCGCTGGCTACACACAGAGGTCATTGGTCCATCACAATGTCCCTAATGGTTCATCAGAAAAAGGAATCACACTACAGATGAGCTGTCACTCACAACCACAAAGTAAACCACTTGGTTATACTCATTGTAAAATGCAGTGAAGGGAGTACGCTGATTCTGTAGCTAGTAACAGACTCCCACTCATAGCCAAGCATCAGTCATTCAGGTCTTGGCACTCCAGCAGTACGCCTATACTGGTGTAAATCAACAATGTGAAAATCACTGCACTTGTGTGAAAGAGACTTTCACAAGTGTACCTCTGCCTTACAGCTTCAGCACACTCTTGGCTACCTCGCATGTTCCACTTTTTGTAGAGCAATGCAGTTCTCCTCCAGAAAGTGTTACATGCCAGATCCTAGAAGATCAGCATATCTGCTTCTCTTCCATGCATGAGGGAAAAGGTTCTTCAATCTGGCCTACAAAAGGGATGGAAGTTAAAGATTAAGTCATTCGTATTCTCACTGGCAGTTCCCAACTACAATAGGAAGACAGAAAAATAGCCATAAAAAATGCTGTTTCCCTTCCTGAAAAGTACCACCTAAGAATTAAACATATGAACAGGGTGCAGGTCATTCTTGTCTAGCAAAATGAGCAGGAAGTTCAGAAACTCCTATTGAAGGTGTTTCTTAGAGAAAGTATGCTTTGTGAGAGACACCTTTGTATGAAATACCTGAAAATAGCAACAGCTGTTCTTTATAACCGTGTGTAAATCAATTTGCACCATATTTTACTGCATTTTTAAATAAGCAACAACTCATGTCTTGAAAGGAGAAAAATTTGCATTATGTAATGAATAGTGTTTTAAGAACAAATATTTTCAAAGTATTGATTCCACTGCAACCATTTATGGTAAAGGCCCATCAATGAAATGGCCATTAACAAGGAGAGTCAGAGCTATTTATTACTTTTAGCTGGGAAATGATCTGCAAGGAAAAAGTGAAAATGCCTGTTTTCTATTCCATCCTGATAGTGCAGCTTGCAATAATTGTAATAATAGGCCAAATTGTGCCCATGCTTTCTCCTGAATATCCTCAGTATGTCACTGTCAGAAAATGTGAGGAACAATTTGGCTGCATATTTTACTAACATAATATTAAAGAGGTAACATTTCCTACCTTCAGCTTTTACTCTCTTTTTTTTTTTTTTAAAATCTATTTTTTTCCCAGCAGTGGAAAATGAAGTAGTTAAGAAAGCTAGATCATGCAGAAGAATTTGTCAGCTGTACACAGTGGTGAATATACTCAGTCAAACACACGGCTCCATTCACTGCAAGTAATGTTATTTATGTACAAACAGATGCAAGACCAGGGTGTAAGGCTGGGCAATGTGGGCACACTGTGTTACTCATGAGGGCTGGTATTTTCAAGAACACCTAATGATGAATAGAGTAATTTGAAAGAAGCTATGGGCACTCGATGGTATGAAGGAGCCACTATGCTTCTGGCAAAAGATTAAACAGTTCTTATTGACTTGGGAAACTGGGAAGTTTCAGCAAATACAGGACCGAGTTATTAAAAAAATGGGTTTCACAGCAGTCACTAACAACTGACAGACCCCATAAACTTGTCTACGCTGTCTATTTACACGGATGTAGGCAAGACCATGCTGTTTCATGAAACTTCTCTTCAAACACAATTATTTAACAGAACAATGAACATCCTAGAACATCAGTGAACAAAAATATATGATTTGCTTGCCCAGTATGATTGGAAGAACAATGTTGAGTTCCAATTTCCAAAGTAGAGCATGCAGGGGACTATTTGCTGTCATGAAGGGTTTGTGGGTCTGAGCTTTAGTTTGTGTAGATACTGCTATAGACTGAGACAATGAAAAAAGCCCCAATTTGTCAGCAGTACAAAAGTCTGGGCAATGCTGCAAGTTAAACAAACTGTATGTTCTGAAATCAGTGTTAGAAGAAAGTCTGTGTTCCAGGGAGCCTGAAAACACTTTTGCTATTTGAACTTCTACTTAATACAGTGAAAAAAAAATAACAGGGATGAATGTCAGGCATGGTTTGTATGATAAGATTTACAGGGCCTGCCTCATATTACCTTTCAGAGAGGCAGCAAATAGTTCTTGCTGATCTGCAGTTAATCTTACACGACTGGCTCTGAAACCTACCAACACTAATAATAGACTGCGTGTGCTGCCGTCAGTAGGTTCGTGCTGAAAGGCACTGAGGAGCACAACTCAATGTTAAAGAAAGCATAAAATAACTCTCATGTTGGACAGACGACGTCATTTGGTTCATTAACCGATGCCTACCAGAGGCTACCAAGGAGGTAGCACAATGACAGCACTACAAGAAATTAGGCGTGTGGTTACCTGATAGATTACGACACGGAATTTGTTTTTCCTCAGCATCTCCTCTTGTTTGGCTTCCACCTTCCGCACGCTGGTGCTCTGCCTCTCCACACGTGCCCGCACCTCCTTCACAGTGGAGCTGACTTTGTGGGTTTTCTCCAGTAACTTGTTCACTGTGTAGCCTGTATTGCCGTGAGCCTGGGAAAGCTTTAAAATGTCAATCTGTATGGTCTTGATGGCGTTTTCCATCTCCCTGTGCCTCTCCTCTATTCTTTTCTGGCTCGCCTGCACGCTGTCCACAATGTTGGCCACTTTGTCCAGGACTGTCACAATTGTGTAAGCTGCATCTTGTTCTTCTTCCTCCTCGGTGACGCTGGAGAGACGATTTTGGTGGGTTTTGTCAGTCTCTGGTGTGATTTCATGGCGATCCATTTTGCCTGCCTTCGTCTGGGTCGGCGGGAGGCGAAGTTTCGGTGATCCTGCCAGAAGGATTCTGGCGCTGCTGCAGGGAGCCAGGGTGACAGCTGGCTCCAGCGATGCTCAAAGTAGGGCGTGAAACGCCACTCCTGGAGCATGGTCAAATACTTGTGACTACAAAATATCCACACATGATTGTTCAGATACTTTCAGCAACATGAAACCCCTAAAATTAGGAAGCAATGTCTGGAAAGGAACATATATTTAAAGGGTCACGCTTCTGTACTGATGAAGTTATTAGTGTTAATCCAGGAAAGTTAAGTAACTTACTAATTAAGCAGGAAAGCAAACTTGCATATTTTTAAAGATCTACTTTTGGTTTTGTGTTACCGGAGTGATTTCCTCTGAGGGAATTCAAAGAGCGGTCAGGAAAATTAATATGGTTGTTTTTTTCCAGCAAAACAACTTCAGGTCTTCAGCTTGCTGCAATTACCACATGGGGTAACAAATAAACACACTAAACCAGAGGCAATATAGTGAAAATGTTGTATTGTGACATGCTTTTCCAGTTCAAAATGTTGAAAGCATTTTTTTTTTTTATTGAGCAAATTATTAAATCCTACATGCAAAATTTTGAAAGCCTAAACTACATGTTAAAACAGCTGAACACATCCTATTCACACTTTATCTTGGGATCTTTCAAACGACAACTAACAGTCTATTAATATAACTATGACAAGCAGACTAATTTGGATGGACTTTAGCTCTTGAAAATACTCTATACAAGAGCACTAGTGATTCATTCACTTTTATTATTTTTTTATTTTAATCACAAACACTATACAATCTGTATTGTAGGTGTTAAAACATGTATTTTCTTTAAAAAAGTTTAAGAAGTATTAAAACAGCTTTAACAGTGATAAAGTAGGCTTTATTCCAATTATTTGTGTTCAATTATTCAACACCAATTTTTACAATACCTAAATCTACTAAGACCTACTCCTTTTGGACCTGTGCCATCTGCTCTACCAGGTAACTTCCCAAATTACGAAATTTATAATTTTCCTCTTTAAAAATAAATTGTTGGAATTATTTATGAAGATGGCAGTGCTTAGACCCAGCCCACACATTTTATAAATATGTTACAACTACACACAGCACACAGCTTCACAGTTCATGCGATAGGCAGTGTCTAAAAAATCAGTTACTAACTTCCAAAAACATTTAAATATCTACGGTATTTAAACACAGTGTTTTCTAGTTTCTCATAAGAAAAGTAAGCTGTAAACATTTTTACCTTTAGTTCATGCCTTGTTTGCTAGGTAATGTGGACTTTTTTGTTGGTTTGTTGGGGTTTTTTAATCTACAACCATTGGTGGAATAAATCTGTGTTCCCAAAAATATTACATTCCATGGATAAAGCACAAGTCTATTATATAACCATGTGATACAGATACAGAAAATGAACTACTGTATTCAAAAACAGAAAAGTAAAGATACTAAAACAGTCCATAGCTGTTAGAGCTGATGCTTTCAGAATACAGACCAACATTGTTACACTAAAAATGTTCAAAAATAAGGCCTCTGAAATAAATATTTCCATTCTTTAAAAAAAGATATAATAAAAATGTACATCACATGGTCAATGTAGGTATAAAAATCACTAAGTTAAACCATTCTGGATGATGTATCTGAAGTAAAATGGCCTAGGTTTTGCTTCTGCCGTCGTCCTCTATTGTTTTTGGGGCATTTTCTGTTAAAAAGAGAAAAAAACCCAGACAGGCTGATTTTATATATGACACATAAAATTAAGCCTAACAATAATACATTGACTTAATTTTCTGAACAATAGCAAGGAGTCTATGAACTGAGCTGACTGGGGGGACGCTCCTGCTGTTCAGTACTGGACTGTCACCTGAGGATGTCTGTGGGACCCCAGATCACACAGAAGGGAGTTCTGCTTGGACTTGAGACTGAAACCAGCAAGGTGTTAGATCCTTCAGCCTTGATCCAACAAAACACGTACCACAGTGAATAATTGCATTTGCTTTACTTTATATGTATTTCATACTTAAAATGCAGTGGATGGTAAGACTGGGCCAATCAGTCTTTTGAAATGCTGAACCTCCAGGTGCCCTGTTGCTCATGGCAGCCCCCTGAGACAGAGCCCACCCAGGACTCTCTGTGGGGTGACTAAGAGATCCTCTTCTTGCAGATGGACACACAACTAAGAAAGGATTGACAAAAGCTAGCAATTCTGGACAGGACAGGACTTGCTCAGCCTGTCAAACAGTAGACAGTGCATGATGGAGCAGTCCTGCTGGGACACAGCAAGACAGACTGTCCCTGAGAGGCTGTGAGCTGGGGAACAGTCATAGGGAGTCTGAAAGAGGAGGGCTGCTGAAACACAGCCTTCCACACCACTGATTTAGCCAGTAGGGTGTGGAGAAAAAAAAAGGGATGACATCAATTGCATGAGCCAAATAACTCTTTTACATGTGCAGGAGGTCTTAGATATGTGTACTTCCACCTGCCACGTTGAACCTTACAAGAGAGATAGGGAAGGGGGGGTCTATATTGTTCGTTCATAGGGGTGTCACTCTGCATCACTGAATTTGAGAAGCTATGCACTAAAACAGTAGCAGAAAGTTTTATGGCCCAATGTAACTGGAGCTGAAAAAGTGAAGGACAAGTTAAAGAGGAAAGGCAAGATGTGGCAAGTGTAGGACTTAAATGCTTCATGCACCTCTAAGGTAATTCAGTCATCCTTAATCTATCCCAGAGCCCTCAGGCCTCACTGGGTTCAAGTCCTTGATGAGCAAACTGAATCTCTTGTCATCAAAAAGAATCTATGGCTCTCATCTCTGTTTTCATACAGGGGAAGAGTCTGAGACAACCCAGAAACTTGAACTCTGTGCTTATGCATCTTTACATTCATAAAATAGGCTTCCATGGAGAGTGCCTAAAAATGGGACTAGCTGCACGTTAATTTTGAGAAAGCATGCATGGTGTGAGGGATACTTCTCTCCCTGTGTAACACCATTTACAGTGGAGCTGCAAGGAACAGCATCTCGTCAACCTCTCTGGTTTCACTGGGTGGAAGGAGGGGATCACAGCTTCTATAAGATAATCAGCAATGCCTGAATAACACTAGTAAAGGTCTAACACAGTAGCTGACTTTGTGGGTGTGTTTCAAGGCTGATCTGCTCTGCTGTGTATTTGGTCTGGGGATTCAGAGTGGTTACCGGTGATTTGTGAATTTGAACAAATGTGTGTTTTGCGACCAGAAAAAAAAAAAAAAGTGACAGGATGTTACATAATGCTTCCACTTCAATCATTAGATATTTTTCATGTGGGTATTTTAGGATATATGTGAAAGTACATAAAATTTGGGGAGTCAAATATCTAAATACAAAAATACATATGATGTGCATTTTTTCACTGTTTTTGTCTTTACCTACCTTGTTATGCACATGACAATTGCAACTATAATGGCAATCTGTACAGCTCCAATTATTGCTGCAATAAGGACATGCGTAAGCTTTTGTCTACTTGGGACAACATAAAGAATACTAAAGTCTGTCTTTTCACAGTGCTGTCCAGTATATCCTGATTCACACCTGAAAAAGAAAAGGCATATTTCATGGAATCTGTAATCTGACAACAGTCCAATCATTTTGCAGATGAAATAAGGAGTCCAAGGTGACACCAGCTGAGAAAAAGCTGGTGAGAAGGTGGAGGTATGGTAATTCTTGGGTTGGGGAATGGTTTGGATTTCTGTGTCAAGAGAAGAGACAGAGCAGATGTGCTCTGCTTTCCTGGATAAGGTTACTAGTGGCTCTCTGAAAACACATGGTGAAGGCCCTGATTTGACAAAAGAAGTATGTGGGGTCATTATTAAATTGGGGCAATATTTAGGAAAAAATAAAGCAATTGGGTGAAACAAGTAGGGATAAATGAAACACAAAGAAGCATGCTCATGGAACACAATGTGAGCATGCTCATTCAACTTCAAGGTTAATATGGGAGAGAAGTAACAAAGAGGAAGAGAACCCTTGAAAAATGGGGGAAAAGGAAGACCCCTTTTCAAGCTGCAGCCTATGGAAGTGGAATCCTGCAAAACCTACTGGACAAGAGCAGCATCAAACCCCCTCATGCCCTGTCACCAAACCAAAATTTGATGGAGGTCGGGTTAAAAAACCAATGGCCACAATTGTTCAAGTGTGAGTCATGGAAAAATCCATAAAAATTGGCCAGGGGTGGGAGAGAAATGGCTGCAGACAGAAGAGAAGCAGCTGCTTTAAATGGTACCTTGCATGAGCAAAGCAGCAGTTAGCTCAGTGAGAAACTTAGTAGAGGCTGTTCCTGATCAGCGACATGTGTTCAGGGAATGAGATGTGCCAGTGGTGAAGGTGGCAGTAGAAACACTCTCTAGAGGAATTCATGTCGCAAGGCAAAAGAGGCAGAAGGACAACAAGGAAAGCAAGAGACACCCAAGACATTTTGCTGGAGTCTGCAGAATCAAGGCCCACCACTTACATCCCTGAGCAAGTTTTGAGTAGAGCCATCCTGTAAAACTGACTGATTGGAATGCATCATTAAGGGCAACTGAATCATACAATTGGCCTCTAGCTCTATAGTCGAAAGCTGGACAAGAAACATCACATGCAGGCAGAGAAACACTCCTTTTGTAAACTGAATCAGATAAACCCAAATGAAACAGAAAATCAGTCTCATCCACCCAAAATCTTTGTACTAGGGTAGGAATTAATTCTGTTGGAGGAATGAAATAATTACTCCACAGACCTTCCTACAAACTGCTAATGCAACTCCTAATCCCTCTTTGTATGCAGGGATAACAGTTGGGGTTTACATGTTCATAATCTTGTGACTCTACTTTCTCCAGCCATGAGCTGCTATGTAAGGAGCTCAGGCATGAAACAAGTTCCAGTAAGAGTAGAGTTATTAAAGAAAAACCCCAATGTACTGTAAGTAAGCTCAGTAATGTCTGGGAAGGCAATCCAGAGAAACATGTATTAGCATACAAGAAGGAAAAAGATGTGGAACATGTTGGCAATCATGCAAAAAAAAACCCCAAAAAAACCCCCACCAAACATAAAGAAGAGGACTCCTTGCTAGTGAAGAGGACTTGATATTTTGCTTTTGGTTTCTTAAAGAAGGTAACAGTCAAAGTGTGATCAGTGTGAGAACTTCTTTAAAGCAAAGGAGGCAAAACAAATCAGAGGAGACACAAGTAATTTAAAGATGTTTCCTCAGAAACACTGAAGTGACAGGAAATTATTTCCAAGAAATATCAAATGGAGATTCAGGAGTATTGAATGCTGCAAAGGAGAAGTGC